GTTACTGGTATTTATGGTTAGGTAACACTTTCATAATGCACATCATGCTTTCAACTCATCTTTTTTAATTCATTTTGCATCCGTATCATGGAGCAACCTAACGACATTGTACTGCTGAAAGAAGTTGCAAAAGGAGACCAGCGGTCTTTTCAATTGCTCTATAACAAGTATTGGCACCAGCTCTATGTAGCGGCCAACAGGGTGCTTCAGGATGACCTGGAAGCAGAAGATATTGTCCAGGATGTTTTTACGTCTTTATGGCGAAAGGCCGGTAAATTTCAGGTAGACAATTTAAACGCGTATCTGTACCAGGCCATTAAATTCCAGGTAGCCAATAAACTAAGGCAACGAAAGGGCCTTGATAATTACCTGAAAAATATAAATGAAGTCATCCTTGAAAAATACCCGCAGATAGAAGATAAGCTGCATTATGCCAGTCTGCTGAAAAAGGTGGATCAGCTGATCGGTGATCTGCCGGAAAAGTGCCGCGAAGTATTTATTCGCAGCCGCTATCATCATCTGACAAATGCACAGATTGCCCTTGAACTGGGTATTTCCGTCAAGACGGTAGAGAACCAGATCAATAAGGCGCTGAAGCACCTGCGTACCCATATGGATGATTATTCCCTGTCGTTGATACTGCCGGTTTATTTGAGTGTGCAGCTCCTTTCTCCTTCCTGTTGATGCCAGTTCCAGGCTATATTTCCTGCCCCTTTTTTTGCCCATGTTAAGAAACGATTAAGTCCGTAAACGGGCATGGGTGCCAAGCGGTCGCGGCGGTACTTATAGGTACAACGAAAAGAAAATATGGATCTGGAACAATTCAGAATATTTCTGACCAGGTACGCCAATAATAAGGCGAACAGTGATGAGCGGCAGCTGTACGATGATTTCTTTGAAACGTATCAGCAAACCAATGAAGCACCTGCTTTTACGGGAGGGGATGCGGTGCGCAAGGACTGGATTTTTTCGCAGGTAGTGCAACAAGTCTCGAAAAAACCAACAATAATAAGGCTGCCGGTATTTATCAGGGTAGCCGCTGCACTGCTTTTATTATTGGGTACAGGCCTCACCATTTATCATTACCGTTCCACTACAAAGCTCATGGCAGCGGTCACCGGCATGGGCGAGCGACGAGATGTAAGGCTGAGTGACGGAACCCTTGTTACCCTTAATGCAGGCAGCCGGCTTACCTATCCTCATGCATTTAAGGGAGACGACCGGGCTGTGTCCCTGGAAGGAGAAGCTTTCTTTAAAGTAGCCAGAGATGCAGCAAAGCCATTCATCATCCATACAGCTGCGTTGCAGACAACGGTGCTTGGGACCTCGTTCAATATCACCGCTTATAAAGGCGAACCCAATGTGGTGACCGTGCTTACCGGTAAGGTGAAAGTGGCGGGTAACAAGGGGGGCAATGCGGTGGTATTACATCCGGGCCAGCAGGTGGGGGAGTCGGCATCCGGGCAATATTTAACCGTTAAAAAAGTGGAAGCCGCCAATTATACCGCCTGGGATAAAGGCACCATCTACCTGGATGGTATCGGGCTGGAGGCGCTGGCCAGGCGACTGGAGCGTAAGTATAAGGTACGCATACAAATAGCGCCATCGCTTCAGGCAAACACCTGCCTCTTCAACGGAAAGCTGATGGACGATAAGCTGCAAAATGTGCTGGAGCATCTTCATTTTATAAGCAAGCTGGAATATAAGATGGTCAATGATTCCACCGTTTTTATCAACAATGTTTCGTGTAACTGATA